CAGCAGCTCCCCTCCCACTTCCTCCCCATAGTTACCTCCTCCCAGTGTCCATCCCTTCATACTCTTCGAGAGGCCCACTAAATCAATACTCTTAATGGAAAAAAATTTTAATAGAATAATTACTATTAAAAAAACAAAAACCAAACTCAGTGCCATCAAGTCAAATTCGACTCATAGCGACCCTCTTTAGGTGTCCAAGGCAATGAATCTTTATGGCAGTAGATTGTCCCATTGTCCTTCTGCAAGTGGCTGCTGGGTTTGAACCACCAACCTTCTGGTTAGCAGCCAAATGCCTTAGGCATATGGCACCAGAACTCCTTAGAATGACTACAAACATGCCAAATTGACCCTCCAAAAAAAAGTTCAACATAATCTTAGAAAAGCACCAAAAATTTACCAGAATATTTTAATGGTTGTTTCCCCTCTTTTTCTTACTTTCTTTTCTTTTTAAAAATAAAGCATTTCCAATTTCCTGAAAACAATGTATGAATAATAAAGTAAAGCAGCATTGTTTTGTTTGCTTGTTAAGGTTTAGTATTACTTAATTTAAGAGGATGGGCAAAGCTCTGATCCCTTCCCAAGTGTTCATCCCAAATGGTATCCCATGGAACATCCACAGAGCACCAGGTGAAGTCCTGGGACCCAGCCCTGGGCTGAGTTCCCAGGGGCCAGAGGGCGACTGGGAAAGCAGAGCAGGCCTTCTGGAGCCGTTTACTCCTCCACCAGGTGAGAAAGTGCAGCATCCGTGGGTTTGTAATTCTTTGCTCTGTGATCTTGTGGAACTAACAAATCACAGAAGGGGCCTGTGAATTCCCTCCGTAGCTGATGGTTTGCACTTAATCCTTTTATAATGTTTGAATCAACACAAGTAGTTTCACCATCCATCCTTTGGCAAGTCTCACCTTCTACTCAGTGAACCAGACCAGAAACAGGAGGGTCCTCCCTACCCCACTCTCCCTATCACCCCTCAAACCCACGTCCTGTTGATTCTGCCTCCAAGCAATCTACAAACCCATCCATTTGTCTTTGTCCCCCTGCTACCGCCCATGCCCCACCATGCCCTCTCACCTAGACCACAGACACAGCCCCTGGTCCTGCTGCCCCAGCACCATCTTTTAAAAATGGAAACACGGCCGTTTTGTCAGTGCCTTCTCGCTGCTACTCAGGATGAAAATCCAGGCTCCTCAGGGTGGGTCAGGAGACCCTCTGTGATCTACCACAGTCCAAGCCCCCAGTCTGAAATCTAGCCACTCCTCCAGGTGCCCCCCCCCCCCCCCCCGAGTGCCAGGTGCCTGCTAGCCCTGCCCTGACACATGCTATTTCCTCTGCCTGGAAGGCTGAACCCGTGCTGCTCTCCTCACCCCTGAAGAGCTCCTCCCCCACTTCCTCGGTGACCCTTCCCACAAAGCCCTAGATGGCCTCTCTCTGTGTTTTCCTAGCAAGTTAAGAAACACTGATACACAGTGGCTAAGTCCACAGTCTCTGGGGTCATGCTCACCCAGGTTTGAGTCCCGACTCAGAAGGCGAGTACCAATCACTTCACATGCGTTACCTTCAGTTAATCCTTAGAGCAACCTAGTGCCAGGTGCCATTGTTATTGCCTTTGTACAGATGAGTAAACCGAGGCTTAGAGAGGCTAAGTAACTTGCACTGAGCCACACAGCACACAAGATGCAGACCTGGAACGTGAATGAACCCAATCTGACTGGACACTGTACCACAGCGATGTCATTGCCTCTGGATGGATGACAGCGCTGTAGAGCCCCACAGTCCTTCCTTTCATAGTCCATCTCCATTTCTTTC